GGCAATAAGGAGTTCATGATTTGAGCCACAGTCAGTTCCCGGTCTTGTTTTTGCTGACTGTATAGAGCTTCTCCATCTTTGGCTGCTAAGAATATAATCAATCTGATTTCAGTATTGGCCATCTGGTGATGTCCATGTGTAGAGTCTTCTCTTGTGTTGTTGGAAGAGGGTGTTTGCTATGACCAGTGCGTTCTCTTGGCAAAACTCTACTAGCCTTTGCCCTGCTTCATTCTGTACTCCAAGGCCAAATTTGCCTGTTACTCCAGGTGTTTCTTGACTTCCTATTTTTGCATTCCAGTCCCCTATGATGAAAAGGACATCTTTTGGGGGTGTTAGTTCTGGAAGGTCTTGTACGTCTTCATAGAACCATACAACTTCAGCTTCTTCAGCATTACTGGTTGGGGCATAGACTTGGATTATCATGATATTGAATGCTTTGCTTTGGAAACGAGCAGAGATCATTCTGTCGTCTTTGAGATTGCATCCAAGTACTGCGTTTCGGACTCTTTTGTTGGCCATGAGGGCTACTCCAATTCTTCTAAGGGATTCTTGCCCACAGTAGTAGATATAATGGTCATCTGAGTTAAATTCACCCATTCCAGTCCATTTTAGTTCACTGACTCCTAGAATGTCGACTTTCACCCTTGCCATCTCCTGTTTGACCACTTCTAGTTTGCCTTGATTCGTGGACCTAACATTCCAGGTTCCTATGCAATACTGTTCTTTACAGCATCGGACTTTACTTCCATCACCACTCACATCCATAACTGGGTGTTGTTTATGCTTTGGCTCCGTCTCTTCATTCTTTCTGGAGTTATTTCTCCACTGATCTCCAGTAGCATATTGGGCACCTACCAACCTGGGGAGTTCATCTTTCAGTGTCCTATCTTTTTGCCTTTCATAGTGTTCATGAGGTTCTCAAGGCAAGAATACTGAAGTGGTCTGCCATCCCCTTCTCCAGTGGACCACATTCTGTCAGATCTCTCCACCATGACCCGTCCATCTTGGGTGGCCCCACACGGCATGGCTCATAGCTTCTCTGAATTATACAAGGCTGTGGTCCATGTGATTAGATTGGTTAGTTTTCTGTGATTGTGGTTTTCAGTCTGTCTGCCCTCTAATGGAGAAGGATAAGAGGCTGATGGAAGCTTCCTGATGGGAGAGACTGACTGAGGGGGAAACTGGGTCTTGTTCTGAGGGGCGGAGCCATGCTCAGTAGATCTTTAATCCGATTTTCTGTTGAAGGGTGGGGCTGTGTTCCCTCCCTGCTATTTACCTGGGTCCAAACTATGGTGGAGGTGATGAAGACAACGGCGACCTCCTTCAAAAGGTCCCAGGCACGCACCGCCCCACTCGGTGCCCGCGGCCCTGCAGCAGGCCCCCGCCCACCCACGCCTCCCCCGGAGACTCCTGGACGCCCACAGGAAGTCCGGGTCAGTCTCCTGCGGGTCACTGCTCCTTTCCCCTGGGTCCTGGCGCACAAGGTTCTGCTGCGCCCTCCAAGGGTCTGCTCCCCCGTCCTGGGTAAGTTCTGGCGGCTCTGTGGTGGGTTAACGGCGACCTCCTCCAGGAGGGCTTATGCCACACCCAGGCCTGCGGCACCCAGGGCCCCTGCCCCTGCGGCGGGCCGCTGCTGACCCGGCCCTCCGCGGGAGACGCTCAGACACGGTTCTGGCCCAGGCTCTGTGGGCCCCTGGGTCCCGGTGCGCGCAAGGTTTGTTTGAGCCCCCTGAGCGCCTCTGGTGGGGAAGGGTTTGATTCTAAACACGATGTCGCCCCTCCTACCATCTTGCTGGGGCTTCTCCTTTGCCCTTGGACGTGGGGTAAACATTTAAATTTTCTTAAACCTTTGTAGCCCAGTCATGCTAATGTTGCCCTGGCAGTGTTCTAAGCACTGTATGTATACTGACTCCCAGGTGGTTCAGATGGTTAAGTGTCTGCCTGCAATGTGGGAGACCCGGGTTCAATCCCTGGGTCGGGAGGATCCTCTGGAGAAGGAAATAGCCGTACTCCAGGACTCTTGCCTGGAAAACTCCATGGACTGAGGAGCCTGACAGGCTACAGTCCGCGGGGTGGCAAACAGTCGGACCCACTGAAGGACTTCACTTTCACTTTCCTCTGAAAAGACCTTAGGGAAGTAGGTACCATTACTATCTCCAGATTATAGATAAGTGAGGCCGAAAGCAGCTGAATCTCCCATGCAGGTCACCCAACTAGTTACAGCGAAACAGCTCCAGGGTTTACATCACCTTGGAATAGTGTGTGTCCAGGTCGGGGAGACTTTTTTGATAGTGGACTGCAGTTTATTACACCGGCGGGCCCAAGGCAGAGTCTCCTCTTAGCCAAGGACCCCGACCAGCATTTGTGAAAATCTTTTATACTCCATGTGTACGTGTCCAAACCCACCACCCCAAATCCCTTGATGCTTACAAAGGAAGGGTAAATACAATCCCAATAACCCCATCATTCACGTGTTATATGTTCAAACAGTTAATAATCAATAAGCCCGCGGTTACATTCCAACCAGTTAATAACCGATAAGCCTGTGCTTACATTCTGATAGATAGTGTCCGGAGGCAGGGGTGATTAGTGTCTGTTTTCTCTTAGGCAATGAGTAACCTGGATACGACAGGTTCCCCTGTCCAGAGGGGGCTTATCCTTCCATTGTCGTTCCCACAGGCACTAAGCAGAGAGTTCAGAGTCCACTGGAGAGGTGGCCGAGCACGGTCAGCACAGACAGGCCTCAGATGGAGTCCAGGCCCTATGAATTCCTTCTTCATTCCCCACTCTTGATGCTCTTAACTCATATTATGAGCATCATTCACAGGGATATGTTGCACCCTGACTCTCCAACTGCCACTTAGGGAGAATGACATCAACCTTCGGGTTACAAAGTTCATAATACACTGTAAAATTCAGGGTCCACAAAGCACTGATTCGTAAGGCCCCTAATTACATCGTGGTAAGAATTACCTGAAGCACTTGTGAAATACATGCAAATTACCAGGTCTTGCCTTAGGAAATTTGGGTGCAGTTGGGTCTGGATTGGAACTTTAGAATTTGTTCCTTAGCAAGCCCCCTTGGTATTTCTCCTCTTCCAACAAAAATTAAAACTACTGCTCTCAACAAAAGGAATCTGCAGCAACAGAATTCTGTATGGTGTGTACCTCTCTGGACTTGGGGAGCTGGGGTAACAGTGACTGGGAAGGGGCATGAGGCTGGAAATGTTCATGCAGGTGGGGATTCATTTATCAAGCGTTAAAAAAGTAACTATCGCCCTATGCTGCAGTGCCTTTCTGGATCATATTGACCAGGAGTAGGTGTGATGAAGCCGATGTACACAGTGTACCAAGCGGGGGGTAAATACTTCAGATAAGGGAGAGAAAAGGCCTTCCCCACAAAGTGACCTCCCATCTGGCCCTGGATGACAGAAAGAAGCTAGTCCTGCAAAGACCAGGGGAAGGCAATCCAGGCAGAAGGAGGAGGATATGCAGAGCTGGGCGTGTCTGAGCAGCAGCAGTGAGGGGGGTCTGGCCGACCTGAGCAGCTGGGGGAGAGCAGTGAGACCCGCAGTGGGACCGGTGGGCGGGGTGGCCCATCCCCATCTAGCGCATTGTCGCTCAGGACCCTAGCGCCTGCCAGTCCCCCAGGCTGGAACTGCCCCCGAAGCAGCGGCCTCATTCAAATATTGCTTGCTCAGATAGGCCAAGGAGCCACTATCACAGCCTTGTTTCATGTCTTCTGAGATCATATCACTCTCAAGAAATTACACTGCTGATCTGTTTAGTGTGGACTGCATCGCTAGCCACCATCCAAGTTCTATCAGAGCAGGAAGTAAATAGTCAGGATCACCCTTGTACCTCCAGGGGCTAGCACGCTGCCTGGCACATGGCAGACGCTTGTAAGTAACTTGCTGCTGAAGGAATGAGCAAACCCTCAATGGAAACTGCAGGGTAATTCCATCAGTCATACTCGCCCTATTTACTTGGGCCTACTGTGTGCCGGGCACCAGGCCAAGTCACTGGGGATAGATATATCAGCGAGGCAAAGAGGTTTTTATTAATTCCAGGTTCTGGAGGATTTATTGAATGTAAGGGGCAAGGGAAAACAGGTAATGAATGAATAAATCTGTATATGTGTCTGTGAAGTGAAGTGAAGTCGCTCAGTCGTGTCTGACTCTTTGCGACCCCAAGGACTGTAGCCCACCAGGCTCCTCCGTCCATGGGATTCTCCAGGCAAGAATACTGGAGTGCGTTGCCATTTCCTTCTCCAGGGAATCTTCCCAACCCAGGGGTCAAACCCAGGTCTCCCGCATTGCAGGCAGGCACTTTAATCTCTGAACCACCAGGGAAGTGCTGTATCTGTCTGCAGAGATAGACAAATTAGATCTACAGATAGAAGGATAGACTGGTAGATACAGATAGAGATACTCCAGATGACCATGTTAGATTTGATAAATTCTAAGAAGATAAAGCAGACCAGAAAGTAACAGGGGGAGCCACTGGATGGAGGAGGGACAGCAGGATTAGAACAGGGGGGCTAGCCAAGAAGGGCCTCTCTGTGGATGGCATTTGAAATCAAGACCTGAGGGCGTTAGGCAGGGTGGCAGGTGGATACAGAGGGAACAGTAAGCACAAAAGCCCTGAGGCTGGAAAGAGCTTGGGGCTGGCGCCTGAGGGGAGGAGGGAATAGCAGGTGAAGTCAGACGAGCGCGGGATCAGATCGTGGGGAGCAGCGCCCACAGGCATCAGGAACTCCACCTTGTCACTTAGAAGGCTGGTCCTCGGGCCTCCCCCCGGACCCACCGAGTCAGAACTCTGGGCTGGCCCCGCGGCCTCCGGCCTAACAAGCTCTCCGGGTGGTTGTGATGCACACAAGAGTTGGCGGACCCCCGGGGCCAGGGGTCTTGCCCCAGCGACCGATCCCAGTTGCCACCCAAGCACGTGAGCACGGTCCTCTTTATTTCACTGCTGGGCAGGGGGCCCTACCCACGCACCCACCCAACTGCTGCCGGCTCGGTCCTCTTCTGCAAACCACCGGGGCGACCCGGCTGCCCGGACTCGGCGGGGACCAGACGCCCAGAGCGGCAGGTGCAAAGGCGCCAGAGCCCGGGTGGGGGTGCCAAACGCGCCGGCCCAGCCCTCCGGGGCGCGGACAGGGCGCCGGCTGCTGCAGCCCCGGGGCGTAGGGGGCGCATCCCTCGCTACCCGCGGCCGCCCCACCGCCTGTGCGCCGTCTGGACCCCGGGGGGACCCCGCGGCCCGGGGCATTGGGATTGGCCGGCTGCTTCCCCCGGGAGCCGCAGCCGCGAAGCCAGGTTGGTGCGGCCGGGCCGGGCCAGCGCCCTCTAGGCAGCGGAAGTGGCGCTCGCTGTACATCCGTCCTCCCCGCCTCGCGGAGTTGGGAGAAGGAAGGCTGGGGGGGGTGGAAAAATAAAAGGAAAAGTCCCTGCACCATGTAGACCCGCGCGCCCCGCGCCCTGGCACCCCGGCCGGCCGGGGACCCCCCTCGCCCCCCAGTCTGCCGCCATGAACGCGAGCAGCGAGGGCGAGAGCTTCCCGGGCTCAGTGCAAAGTAAGTGCTTTTCCGGGCGCAGTGCGCGCTCCGGGGCCCGGGCCCAAGCACGCCTGCGACGCAGCGGGCAGGCCCGGGGCCCCGAAATCGGGGTGACGGCCCGGAGCCGGCGTCTCGGGGACCCGGCGGGCGCGCCGGACGGGAGGCGCCGGGGTGGGCCGGGGGCGGGCCCTCCCGACCCGGCGCGAGGCGGGGGCGCTCGCCAGCTTCCAGAGAGCCCCCCCCGGGCAGGGGGCGGTGGGGGAGGGCTGGCGGCTCCGACCATCGCCCACCCGCTCGCGGCATTCCCCGCCCCCGGCGCAGCCTGGAGGTGGATTGGGGGTAACCGCGGCCACGCTGATGGGAAAACTTCTGTCTCGGTGGCCCCGAATCCTTGAAGGCTGGGGTTCGGAGGACTGCACGAGGTCTGGCTGGCTGGGCTTGCCGGCTTCCTGGAAAGCCTTGTCCACGTTCTAGCTGGAGATCTGAATGGGGAACGGGGCCGTGGGCGTGTTCTTTGCGTTTTGAGTTCGGGGTTCATTTTCATTATGATGACAGCCTTTTTCAAGCCCGTGGTCTCCCCGGGCTCCTTGATTTCTTGAGTGTGGACCAGGGGCTGAGCGCGAACCAGCCACCTGGGAGCTCCAGAGCTTATTTTTTTAAAGGGGGGGGGGGGAGCTCTCTGGGCCCCACCCACCAGGCGGTGGGGCCGGGGTTGAGGGGAGGAGGATGGCCTTGCCCTGGGCGATTCGGAGGCACAGGAAGTTTGAGAACCCCTGGCACTTGTTAGATGTGACTGTTAACCACTTGGAAGACACTGGCTCCCAAACTTGTCTATGTGTTCCTTGCATAACTTGTGAGAAGCGCAGATTTCCCTAAACCTCAGTCCCCATCCACCCCTCCTCCAATAGGACTCAGTATCTCCGAAGTGGGGCTCGGACGTGTCCGTGTTTAAATCCACCCCAGCCCTTATTCTGATGCCCAGACAGGTTTGGAGAACTTTGCAAGGATAAAGAGGCTTCTCAGGCGGCGCCAGTGGTAAGGAACCCGCCTCCCACTGCCGCAGACGGAAGAGTCACAGGTTCGATCCCTGGCTTGGGAAGACACCCTGGAGAAGGGCACAGCAACCCACTCCAGTATTCTTGCCTGGAGACACCCATGGACAGGGGAGCCTGGCAAAGATAAAGAAATTCTTTTTGTTGATGATGCAAAAAAAAAACCAAAAAAAATAGACCCAGTGTTTTCTATTGGGTCTCAGTTCATTACAGATTTTCATAGGGGATATTTTCAAATTCAAATAGGACCCCTCAGTAATAACCCCATCACGTGACATGCTGGGGACCCCTGTGCTGGCCTTTTACAAGCACCATCTCATTTAATTCTCCTAACCACCTTATGAAGCACAAACTTCACCGCATCTCCTCCCGGATATCAGTCCTACCATTAAGGAATGTCAGCGATGCAGTCACTACGCCTCTTAATTCCTTGTCTTCCTCTTAGTTCGGGCACCTCAGTAGCTACAGGAAGACAGTGTTCCAGAGAAGAGAAATGTCACATCCTTCTATCCATTGATTTCAGTGTTTGCAAGATGGCTTATAAAACCACCATGCTCAGTGCAAAGCATCTTTTCCTAGAAGTCAACCAAATTGTCTTTCTGCACAGAGATGTCTTGGTTGTAATGGGACATTGGACATAATGCAAATATTTTATAAGTTTTTTTAAAAAAATTATGAAACAAGGATGTCAACTGTATATGCACAAAGGTGGTTTTCATACTATTTAGACTCAGGAAAAGTTGGGAATAATATACAAACCTTATAGTTAGTGAGAAATTATGAGGCTTAGAAAATATGCTATAATGTGTTATCATTAAATAGTTATATATATACATATATAAAGAGATTTTAGTGATAGAGCACAATGCTTGTACAACAGTATTGGGGGAAGATTAATTTACAATGCACTATGATATAAATAATTTTTAATTGAAAATGAATGGAAGAAAATATTTTGTAATGTTCATGGTAGCCATAGGTGGAAAGACTGTAATTTCCCTCCTTGCTTCCTCTCTCCCAAATTTTCTGTTATCAACATGAATTTCCTTGTAATAAGGCAAAGAAAACTTTTAAAATAAAAATTCAGTTTGTCTTATTAGTTACTTATTCATTGTATTTCTTTATTTAATAAAAATTTATATAGCAGTTTCTAATATAGTGCCAGGACTATGGTAAGCGCTTTGCAAGTGTTAAATACAGTATTAATTCTTGATATTGTTACTATAGTGAAATAATGTCTCTGTCAGGAATTAATTTTGCTTACAAGTAACTAAACTGAACTATACTGGCCTAATTAGAAGTCTGGAATTGATTGGTTCTAGGGTTGATTTAGGGGATCAGTGAAGTAAACTTTTGTAGAGAGCTTACTATTTACCTCATGTTACAATATGGCTGCAGAAGCACCTGGCATCACATCTGCATTCAAGGCTGAAGGGAGATGAACAGTGCCAACCATGTCAGCTCCCTTTTTATCATGTTTTTCCCTGAAGCTCCTCCAGCACTGTGCTGGAGGGATTCCCAAGTATGTCATGAACCAAAATTATTCAGGCTAGTGGTTCTCATGATGGGGGAGAGGGTTGGAAAAGTGGGAGCATTAGTTTTCATAATGACTGAGAAGTACAATTACATTTTATCTGAGATAGGAGATGGTCCTTTGAAGTGCAAGGTAGCCTTCTTGAAGTGCAGGGAAGAACCTTCTTGCATGAAATACCACTAGTGCCCCCACAGGGAATAATCAGGAGCATTACTTGGGTGGGTATGTTGCTGCTGGGCAGAACTGAGGTTCTGTGTGCAAGATAGATATTGGGCCAGCAGCTAGCCACGTCTGCCACCGTGCCCATTTTTCTTATGTGGGTCTGGTGTGTGTTGTCATTCCAAGCTGTCTAAAATTAACCCCTGACTTCCCCTTTGTCCCATGAAGTTCCAGGTGGCACAACAGTGCTGGTGGAGCTGACTCCCGACATCCACATCTGTGGCATCTGCAAGCAGCAGTTTAACAATTTGGACGCCTTTGTAGCTCACAAGCAGAGTGGCTGCCAGCTGACTGGCACGTCTGGGGCGGCGCCCAGCACGGTCCAGTTTGTATCGGAGGAAACGGTACCTGCCACCCAGACTCAGACCACCACTCGAACCATCACCTCCGAGACCCAGACGATCACAGGTATGGTTGGGGGGTGGGGTAGTCACTTAGAGTTGGCCTGGCTGTGTCCCAGACGCCTCTACAGATCTTGTTACATATATAGACATCCAGGGCCCACCCCCTAGGATTGCTGATTCATTAATTTTAACAAGCTCCATGGGGAAGCTAGCTGCCTGGCCAGGTTTGGGAACTGCTGGGTTAAAACATTAAGTGGTAGCAGTTATAAATTGTTGTCACGTGCTAAACAAAACTACCAGACAAAAACTAGGTTTTTAAAACAAACCCAAAAAAAAACCCTATATACCAAGAAAAAAATACTTGCAGGAAATGGTAAAAAAGGAAAAAGTGGTTATTTGGGGTGGTGGAAATAAGTGTGTGATTCCTGAATTTGCATTATTTGTGTAAAGGACAAAAAAAAATGTTTAAGAAATTTTTTAAATCTATAAACAAGTATTGATGACTCCCCTTCCCTGTGCCGCCAACCAGAAAAACAGAAAAGTTCATCTGAGTTCTTGGTCGTGTCCAGAAGAAACCGCAGATGGATCCAAAAGTTAAATGTGCACAATGAAACCGTCAAAGTTGTAGAATAAAAACTATACACACGCGGAGACACCCAAACACTCACACACCCCTACGCTTACTCCTTTGTAATTTGCCTTAAGGGACAAGACAGATCACTTTAAATATAGTAAGTCACCCATTTATGAGATAGTTGGTAGACACACTGTTGTATCCTATGGGAAAATAGAGAATGTATTTGTTAGCTAAAGGCATTCAAATTTTTAAATCAAAAAATATATTTATTAGTACTGTGCCTTCCAAAGAAAGCAGATTATAGGATTGTGCCCCCCCCCAACAAAAGAAAAAGAATTGTTATGTAGTTGCAAATAAAGTTACCATTTTTCCAAAGTAAAAACAATGTATAAAAAAAGCCTAAAGACAACTGGGGGGGGGGGGGAATGCAGTACATGTGACTAAGGCCTAATATCCTTCATATATTAAAAAAAAAAAAGCCCTAAAAATCAATAAAAGGACTAAGTGGAAAACTCAGCAAAGAGCATCAGTTGCTGCTCAAGAGCCAGCAAGTATACAAGGATGCGCCATTGCCTCATCGTCACTCAGTAATAAAGAAACGCAGATCAAATACTGCTTCCCTTTCCTTCTGGAGATATCCATTCATATAAGCCAATTTTGTGATATCTTTCAAACTTTAATTCTTACATTTAAAATCTTTCAAATTTTAAAATGTACACATTTACCCACTATGTGCACTTTTATAGGTATTTACCCTATAAAACCTGACAAGTAAAAATGTACAAGGGTGTTTATGGATATACTGTAAAGAAAATGGAACCTTTGTAACATATATGTCAGGAGGAGATTAGATGAATAAATGCCACAGATCAATAATGAATAATAATCTAATAATTAATTAGACAAATAAATTCAGACAGTGGAATGTGACTTAGCTCTGAAAAGGAGAGCTAGATCTGTGTACCCGCACAGAGTCTCAAGGTGAATATAAACAGGCATATATATGCATACAGATTATGTTCAAGGGAAGCTTCTAGAACAGGAATGAGGCAGGTAATGTTAAAGAGAGGAGTCACCTCTGCCAAAGTCGTTAGGGGATGGTGGGGACTCTGGTGAAACAGAGAAAGCTGCTCTTTGGATTCAATCAGTTAGATATTTGGGTTTTTCCAAGAAACTGAAAGATGTAAAATTTCCCAAATGTTAAAACTTTGTTAGGAAACTTCCCTGTCAGTTCAGTGGTTAAGACTGTGCTTTCACTGCAGGGAGTACAGGTTCGATCCCCAGTCAGGGAACTAAGATCCCACATGCCAGGCAACGAGGGGAAAAAAAAAACTTTGTTGGTCAAACAAAATATATCTGGAGCTTGATCAAGCCCATCAGCCACTTCTGACTTGTTTTCATTGTTTTGCAAACAGTTAATCGGAAGCTAAGATGTGGAGAACCTCCGAAGTGGGGGTACCAACTTTTACCTCATCAGTTGTATGTTGATGTTGTGTCTGAATTTTTTGGCAGCAGGTGAAGTTTTGTGGTCGTTTCCTTAATGTATCCAAAATAATGTTTCTGCTGAAATTTGTTAAGCATTGAAATATAATTGATCACCTCACAAACTTTAATCAGGTTACCTTGAGGTCTTCCCACTTTTACCTGAGTTTCTCTTAATCTCATCTTAGAGGAAATCACCAAGAAAGTGTTCAAACTGAAACCTACCTTAGAGATGAGCCTGGTACCACCTTCTCATTTTACAGCTGGATAAAGTGAAGCTGCAAGTGGAGATGAGAGATGGTTCAAGGTTCAAGACAGTCCTGGGACTTACGTCCCTTGGCCTTTGCCCTCATGGTCTTCTCCCTGAAGCTTTAGTGTTGGGTTATCTGTTCTCAGAAACAAACTCCCAGCCACCCCGCACACCAGTGTGAAGCCTGGGACCCGAGGCCCCAGCACGGGGGAGGCCTCCAGACCCGTCGTGTGTGGCTATTGCGTCTTTCTGGGCGCTGAGCCTTCACTGGTGCTGTTCCCTCTGCATGAAATACCTTTCCTGCCTTTACCTGCCTGACACCAGCTCAACCGCAAAACCTAAGGTTCAGGGCCATCTGCACACAGGACCTGGCTTCATCTCAGGACACTCCCCTCCGCTCCGAACCACAATAGCCATGATGACGTCCTTTCTGTTTTCCGAACGAGCCGCTTTACCTTGAGCCTTTGTATGTGTTGCTCCCTCTGCCTTGAACTAACTTAACGCTGGTGCGTGTGTCAGAGCTGGGCTTAACTGCGTTGCCTCAAAGAGCCCCCCGAGACCACACACATGTGCACTGTTCTCTCAGATCAGGTCCCCGTAATTGAATGATCGTTTGCAGAACAAACTTAGGGTCTGTCCCACTGCCTTTGGACCCCCAGCATCATTCCCGGCACGGGTTCTGTGTGGATGAATGCACGGGGACCCACGTCTCACATCCACTGGTGAAGCTGACCCCACACCGTGTAACCGCCCCTTCCTCTGTCCTAGTTCTCAGCTCGGAGACCTTCACCCGCCTCCTGGCATCTCCACGGCCCCGCCGTTATTCACGGTAGCCGTGCCTCAGTTTTGCCGACCGCCCTGTACGCCTCGGCGCCCACTGCTGGAGGTTCCCCACCACACAGAGCTGATGGGGCGCCGCGCGCCGAGACAGGCTACTGGACCTTCATCCCGTCGGCAGCCCTGGGCTCTGGGTATGCCGCTCACTCGGTATTCCTCGTCTGCAGAAAGGGATTATTAAAAAGGGTACCTAATACTAGTAGGTGCTGCCCAGGTGGCCCAGGGGTAAAGAATCTGCCTGCAATGCAGCAGACGCAAGTTCGATCCCTGGGTTGGGAAGATCCCCTGAAGAGGGAAATGGCAAATTCTGGCGTGGAGAATTCCACGGACTGTATAGTCCATGGGGTTGCAAAGAGTCGGACACAACGGAGCAACTTTCACTTTATTAAGATAAGTGACTGAGTGACTTTCATTTTCTTAGCATCAAGCTGAACGCACAAGTGAGGTTAGCAGGACGCTGGGTCTCTTCCTGGCCCAGCTGCTCTCCCCGCGTGTGCCTGCATCTCTGCCCCCAAACAAGCAGCATCTTGCTTTCCCCCCGCCCCCATTCTTCTGCAGTTTTGGTTTGCTGGGTCCCGCTTCCCCAGAGTTTGGGCTTCAACGTTGCAGCAGCAGCAGTTTGGACCGGGGTCCCTGGGGATCTTGTTAAAGGTGCTGGTGCCAGGGCTGCACCTCCGGATCCGCCTGGCTGAGGCGCAGGCATCTGCATGTTTAACAAGCTCCCCGGGGGTTCCAGGCCTCGACCCAGTTGGAAGGATGCTCACCGCCCGGCCCCCACCCTGGCAGATTCCTCTCGATACCCACACCCAGCCCTTGTCCAGGGCCCGTGGTCCCTCCTCAGTCCTTAATTAAACCAGACCCTTCCTCCTGCTCAGCCGCTTCGGTCCTTGCAACACCATGGACTGCAGCCCACCAGGCTCCTCTGTCCGTGGGATTTTCCGGGCAAGAACACTGGAGTGGGTTGCCATGTTGGATATAAAGTAAAATTTATTCTCTGCCTGCTAGCTTTGAAAGCTGCCTATCATTTGGCATAGAACTTCTCTATAAAAGCAGTAAAATTAGATCTTGATGCTGGTGGAAAAAACTAGCATCCTACATGCATTTTTCTAAGTTCCCCCCTTGAAGTCATGGGGCTTGGGGTCAGGCCCCCGTGTTAAAGTCTTGGCTATAGAGGGCCTTAGGAGCTGTGTTATAAGAGCTTGTGTCGTCTCCTTTTTAAAGTGGGGACAAAAATACATAGAAAGGCCATGGAACTTGGTAGTGGAGAGAGTCTGGGTTCCTGAGCCAGACTGCCTATCTGGGTTCAAATCCCAGCTACATCACTTCCCATCCAGGTAACCTCGGGCAGGTGACTTAGGGTCTCGGGGTCTCCATTTGCCCAGCTGTAAACGGGAGAGTGATGATAGTACTCACCTCAGAGGGTCGCTGCCAGGGGCCCCTACATGGTAGACACTCAAGCTGTCAGGGTTAGTTCTCATTACTTACTTACTGAATCAGGGGGCTGTAGAAATTAAGTGAAACAGCACATGGAAAATTTTAAGCAGGCTCTGACTCATGGCAAGCCTCCAGACAGTATTAGTTGAATTATCACTGACTTTTCCTGCCTCTTCTGCTTCATTCCTACTTTTTTAGGACCCAGGTTAAAAGTCATCTCCACCTAGAAGCTGGCCATGATTTCTCCCTCCCTTCCCTACCCCGAAGGTTAGGTTCTTCACCGCTTCCTCAACCAGCACTTATCACAGTTGCCATCAGTTTATTTGGCACAGTTGCCATCAGTTTATTTGGTAACAAGCAGTCTTTAGCCAGAGAAGTGAATTTAGATGCTCCGGGGATCAGGCAGGGGCAGCAAATACGGCAGCAGGTCAGCTGTGAGCGGGAGTGGGCGTCGCTGGGAGCTGGGTTAACTCCCCGGGCGCGG